ATGTTTAACCTTTGGTTGCAGAAAACAAATTCACTAACCATATAGTGGTATGTTTAACCTTTGGTTGCAGAAAACAAATTCACTAACAATGTAGTGGTATGTTTAACCCTTGGTTGCAGAAAACAAATTCATTAACCATATAGTGGTATGGATTGCACGTATAAACATATTTTAGAATCAAAGGTTTCTGAGAATAATGAGCCAACACTGCGTAAAATATCAAATATCAATCAGTTTATTACAATTGAAAATGATACATCTCTAAGTATTTAGTGAGATTCTTGATAATAAGTTAACATGGCGTAACTATTACAACTTTGCCAATCGAGAACATAGATTGAAAAACAAGTGGACGCGAGTTTGTCCAAATATAGGCAATAGGCAAGGTAAACATGGTATTAACTGTATATATATGAACCATAAACTTGTTATGCTTCACCCCATGCGACAACTATTTTGTACATTTGATCCTAATATGACCAATAAAAGAGAGAATGCATGACAACTGATGAGAAATGCATCCCTTGTAAAATGGGTACAGGTCACTGGTAGGGTAGTGGTTGTTGCATCAGACCCATGATCGGAAGACCCAAGTTCAAACACTGAACACCAAATTTAGTCAACCCCTACCCCTTATGTGCCACAGACTCAATGGAAAGGTCAATTCCACTGGCCAAGATTCTTTCACTAACAAATGCGACTCTGGGAAAACCTTGGTAAAGGTCTGCAGGTGCTTGTGTTTGACCAAGCCTGAGTGACGCCAGGATAGTGCATTACATTGATAGAGAGATGGCTGCACAGCCCTGTCATGAAATCCCAAACATGAATATGGCTTCTGTGTCAGCTTTAGCAAAAAAGTCAGGAGAGATAAAAGTGACATTCGATGTCTAGAACTGTCGCCTGGCACACACAAAAAAACAATTAAAAAAAATGGTGACAGGCGAAATAGAAAAAATGTGTAGGGGAGAAGCCCAGGTAAGGGACTGGAAGTAGGAATAATGCAGGTAACATACAGAGTTCTGTCTTCTTCACGATCTGATTCACACACTGGATGGGTTAAGACTAAACACTACATAATTGTCTGCAATAGATTCCGTGCAAGCGTAAACTCCAGGCTGCACAATTCTAGGAAGATGTTGGGAACAGTTGGAAGGGCCCAGAGGACGTATCTTGTATTTTGCCTGGAAAGATGAAGCAAGTACGAATCAATTATCATCTCC